CAAATAATTTCTGAAATCGGTGCTTAAAAATGTTATTCAGTATAATTGATTGCTGGGTCCGGAGAGATGCACCTTGCATGCAATCTTTCCCTGTGATTTTTTTTTAATTTTCTTGTGAAGTAATTCATGCAGGCCTCTTCCCTTGCATCATCGTCACATGGTTGGGGCAAGCATACAGGTAAGAGTTAGATTTTTATCATGTAACAAATCTTGTCTTCCTTTCTTTTGTTTTGAGTTTGCTTTTCTTTCTGCCTAATCCAGTTGCAGAAGGCAGCAAAATTACTGGACTCAGGGGCTGTCAGGGCAACTAGATTTCTTTGGCAGTATCCAACAGCTCGAGTTATCCTGCTTTTCTATCTCGTGAGCAATTGGTCTCATTTTGCTTATGATGGCTTTTATTAAAAAGGTTTATGTGAAAGCAAATTATCATACGCTAAAAACTGATATGCAGGTGTTCGTGCATCTTTTCTTGATGTATTTGTTGCATCGCCTTCAGGTATGATTATCTGACCATTTATGCCACTGCAGTACGGATTTAATTGTTAGTTGTCCATTACTGAATAAAACAATTATGTCCAATGACATGGGTGTGCCTGTCTTATAATTATGAATGCACACATACGCTACCTTTTTTTTGTGCGTAGGAACAAGCGGACAATTTTGCTGCTAGAGAAGTTGCGGAATCTATGGGACTTTCAAACCCTAAATTACCATGATTTGAGAGCTGCTCCAGGCTGGAAGTTAATACGAGGAATTCTTGAAATGCCTGATTTCATGTGTGCAAGGGTATTAACTTTTCTTGCTACAAGCACAGAATGAATTGAGATTGCTCCATACTTCACAAGGAATAAAAGTTATCATACGGCAACAGGGATTTCATCCTGTGCATCATTCAATATAAAAGCATATGATAATTTAGTTGGTTCATAGAAACTGGTACAGGATGAAGAAGCAAACTAGACCCAAGTGTGGCAGTTAAACGTACAGATTGCATCTAGACATACAAATGCTGATATAGCACTGTTTAAATCACTTTGTGATCTACTTGTTATAACCTTTTGACACGACATAATTCGAATTGGTTAACGATCCGAACTTCACTTGTGCATTGTGAATGATAAAATTCTTTCATTTGTTGTGGCAACAATATATTGCATGTAATGCTTCTTGACTTCAGTCGGTGAATGTGAGCATACTGCTTGTATGCAACGCCAAAAGCTTTCTAATGCCTTTCATTGTGGCAATTGAACCAGCAGAATCAGAGAATTAAACTTGCGACAAAATGGGAAGCATTTCTTATCAAGAATCTAATTGTAATTGCAAACAAGCAATTTTGCATGATCTTGAAATTTTTGAAGCACTTGTATTATGTACCACGCACTGGAGTAAAGAAATCTACACATACATGAAAAGAAAGTGAAACGTAGTCCTTCACAAAATGGCATGTGACAATTCCTCTTCTCTTAACCTCACCAACTTTTCGCTACAAAAAGAACGGTCATTGTAGTTTTGTTGATGACTCTGGAACTCAACTGTTCTGTTTGGTCATAAATTCAATTGAAAATCAAATTATATGATTAGGTAATAATAATGTCATTATCTTATGACATTCTTATAATATGACAATTCCATGCATATTCGGTAGAATTGGAGAGGAACTTGGATAAAATAAATAATTTTTTAAAAAATTATATTCTTAATAAAAATTATAAATAGAAAAGAAGAAAATTTCAAAGAAAAATTAGAGCCTTACAATAACTAAACCTTAATTGAATGGTTATGTTCATTGTTCCGTAAGATATTGTAATTTTGAGTCAGTTTCTTATGTGTATTATGATTTAAGAATTATTTATATTTTGTTATAAATTTATGTTAATTAAAAAAATATATTATGATTTCAAGTCAAGCTCTCATACTTATTTTTTTAAAAAATTATTTTTATTGTATATGATTGATGTATATATCACATAATTAGTAAAAATTGATTAAAATATTTTTTTGGTCTTTATATTATTTTTTTCGGTTTGATTTTGTTTCGACTCAATTTTCTATTAAATTAGTTCTTATATTTTTAAAAAATATTAGAATTAATTCATCTCCGTTAATAATAATTATTATTATTAATATTCAGTGTCCGTCAGTAGTTACCATTATTATTAATATTTGGTGTCATGTGACATCGATATTGGTACGTAACATATTTAATTAATTATTTTTCTATTTTAAATGTCTAATTAGATATTATATTATATTTAATATGAAAAAAAAAAATGTAAACGTAAATTTGTTATAATTTATTTGAAAGTAAAAAAGTGATCGAATAAGACATAACATAATCAAACTTAATAATACATGATATCACATATTAAGCAATGTTATTACTAAGTGATGGAAATGAACTAATTCAAATATTTTTTTTCAGAATATAAAGAGTAATTTGACACAAAGTCACAAAAAATAATACAATTAGTAAAATAATCTTTTAGCCATTAATCAAAATGCGAATTTTAAAGAAAAAAATGATCTTGCAACTGTGTCAAGATTTCGAGATTATTCCGGAGTTTTCTCACAACATCTGGATCGGATCCCCTGCAATTACTAGTAAGTTCTGGAGGACTTCCCGGAGTCTGGAGACTTTTGTTTGGCAATTTAATTCAAATGATCTGGAGAAATCTAGACCGTAGGTCAAACTGATTCAAATTATCTGGAGAAATCTAGACCGTAAATTAAATTAAAATGGATGGATTTCGCAACTCCACCCTATCCCTGAACGTTCTGCCTTCTTTTTCTTTGGCCGCATTTGCAGACCAAAAATATCCTTTTCGTCCTTTCCTTCGACGATCGGACTCTCATTCGCAATCTCACTTTTATCAATTCTCTGTTAATGAAATGCTGTTTGCTTCTTCGTGATTGAGCAGAAAGAACCAGAAAAATCCTTAATTGTTTCATCTTCTCCTCCTTTCTACAACAGCCGCCTACCTTACAAACGCAACCCTCTCTCTTGTCTTCTTTGGCGCCTCCAAATAAGAATTCCCTCATTAGGTCACCGCAAGTTATCATCTCTGGACACTAGCTGTGTTCGTCCTCTGTAGCGAAATACGACCTCTCCTGATTTGGCGTTGTACTCAGATTTCTTTAGCAGAAGACACTCAGATCAGTTATAAGCTGGCAAGTTCGAGCTTCAAGTGAAAAACCCAGCAGGTTCACATTGATCGGATTACTGTCTGATAGGTAAGACTCTCTTTTCTTCCTTCACGCGTGCATGTATTTAGTCTTTTTTCTACTGGAGTTCTTCTATTCATTTTGCCATGATTTGTTTGTTTCATGATTAAGGAAGTGGTCGAGGCTGTTAAATTTTGGTTGTGTTTATTGATTTATTATTAAGTATGTTTATTGATTTTTCTTGTGTTAGCTGATCTGCTATTGGTACCAGATTTTTGTTAGTGTTTATTTTAGTCTTATACACGTTTTGGTTGTGAAATTTTAATTGAAAATTATACAATAAAGACTATATGTGCTTTAATAAGTAGATGAAATAGACGAATCAATAATAATAAAATCTTGAAAAAACTACCAACCATCTGGTTAAGATGGTAATAAAATACAGATGAAACCAGTGCTTGGTTTTCATTTATAATCGTCACTTAATGGACAACAAAATGATTTTATGTCTTTGATCTTGATGCATACTCTGGAGGTTTTACATTTAACTCTGGTTATTTTGATGTTAATTGTTGACAGTTTGCATTTTCGCTGCTGCATTTTTGGCTAAGTTTTTAGAGTTTGGTTTGGATATATGGCTAGTTTTGGCTTAAGCATTGGCGTGAATTCTTCTATTTATTTTAATAGCTATTTTGGCAATTCATGTATATGGATGGTGCTTAACAGATCTAAGGTGATTTATTTTGATTACATCTGCATACTTGTATTCCTTATTTTGTGATTGGATTCTTAAGATATGCACATGTATATTTATTGATTGTTTTGTTTATAGGGTATTTGATTGATTACTTGATTATTTTTATCAAACTGTTGGCTGATGTATGATCAGAAACAGAGAAAGGAAGTTGTGATGGCAAAGGAAGGACCCGGCTGGGAAGGATTGCTTAAGTGGAGTCTTTCTCACTCTGATGGCACACGCCCTCCTTGCAATTTGAGGTACTTGATCTGGGTCTTCTTTTTCTCATTTGACTACAAATTAGATTTGATTAAATTTGTTGAGTACATATTTGTGATATCTTGAGTACATATACACAAACGTAGGATGAATTAATTGCTGATAGCATAAGTAGATAATGTTTGTGGTATTGTGCTCATTAGTAATGAGTTTCTATTGTTTCAGTGATGAAGATCGGAAATGGTTCTTGGAAGCCATGCAAGCACAGAGCGTTGACGTAATTAAGCGAATGAAAGAAATAACTCTTGTTATGCAGACTCCTGAGAATGTTCTCGAGGCGCAAGGAGTTACTCCTGAAGATATCGAAGGTAACAAAACATGCTTTCTTGTTTCCTTTTTATGTATTTCCTTGTGGCAAAAATCAATTTTCAATTGTGTAGTTTAATTCTCGTTGATGTAAGTTGTTTAACTGATGAAATAAATGGCAGGGATGTTGGATGAGCTGCAAGAGCATGTTGAGTCTATTGACATGGCTAATGGTGAGCTTCTCTTATGAAGTTCTAAGATTTAGAAGTACCAACAAGTTTAATATAGTTTGATTAGAGAGTATAGAACTTTATTTTTTTCAAACTCTAACACTTTGAGTATCTTTTCATGTAGAGAAAAATCTTAGCTAAGAACTTTAGGAAGCTTGCACTTATTTGACTCAGTTTGTTGATGAGATTGAAAGAATTTGCAACTTCATTAGATTCTTATATTCATTTTCTAAATTGTTGGGCTATTTAGAATTTTATATTAGTACATTGGTGTTATAGTTTTTCTTTTTTCTTCTTTCCACCGGGAATTTTTAATCCTTTCTATTAATGCATTAATAACAGATCTTAATTCAATTGGTGGCTTGGTCCCCCTTCTTGCTTACTTGAAAAACTCCCATGCTAATATTCGAGCAAAGGCAGCTGAGGTTGTGACCACCATTGTTCAGAATAATCCCCAAAGCCAACAACTTGTGATGGAAGCTAATGGCTTGGAATCCCTTTTGAGTAATTTTACTTCAGACCCTGATGTAACGGTTAGAACAAAGGCGCTTGGTGCAATTTCCTGTAAGTACTATGAACCACTATATTTTGCCGTGATTGTAAGAGAATTCATTTTGTTGTGTGATACTTTTTGGTTCCTGGTTATTCTTTTCCAGACTTTACTAGTTACTTAAAAAATTAAAGCATTTTCTCAAGGGTTATATACTTAATTCCCGGAAAGAAGAATGTTCTTAGGAATCTTTTGAATTTGTTTTGCACATCTTAGCATCACAGGGTTTTAAAAAATGGTCTCTTGATGCATCTGATTTTTGGTTATTTTCAGCATTGATTAGGCACAATAAACAAGGAATAACTGTGTTTCGACTTGCAAATGGTTATGCTGGCTTGAGAGATGCTTTGGGATCAGAGAGTGTGAAGTTCCAAAGGTAATCTTGCAAAAGGTGGTACTGATTTTCTTTCCAAATGGATGTATGTTCATGTAGTGAAGAAAGAGAAGAGAAAGATAAGCCATAGTAATGCAATTTAACCCTATTTTCTTTTGGCAGTTTGATGTGCTTGCACTGCATGTGCAGTGTTATTGGGCAAATTAGTTTCCCCATCTAATCTTT